GCATGCACGCACGCACTCACGCACGCACGCCCCACACTCCCTGGTCAATGATTAAGCCTGGGTGCAATTAATAAACAATGCGTAAGCCCAGTCAGAGTTTACGACCAAAGGGTCCCTGTTGCCTTATCACACCCTGCCCTGTCCTTTAAGCAGCTGGTGCAATTAGCAGAAGGTCAATTAGCACCAGCCGAAGATGCAGCTGGCCTCGTTACCTGTGCTCAGACCCCAGGCAGGCTGGAATGGGCCCCAACCGTTAATTAGCTCCTTGCAAGGGGTGCAGGCTGCACTGAGGATCTGGTGGTTGTGCCGTGCTGTCCTTATGCCACCCCATTTCAGCCATGCATTCCCAGGCTGTTCCCACATCACCTCTGCCCGCTCCTCTTTCCTCCTCTGCATTCTGAGAAGTGGCCACAGCTGGAAAATGAGATCCAGTTTGCTGCCCCTTTTCCAGCCCCTTTCCCTCTCCTTTGCAGCCGCTTTTCCAGCCCCTTTTCCAACCCCTTTCTAGCTCCTTTGCACCCCCTTTTCCCTCTCCTTGGCAGCCCCTTTTGCAGCCCCTTTTCCCACTCCTTTTGCAGTCCCTTTTGCAGCTCCTTTTCCCGCTCCCTTGCAGCTCAGTTTTCCGGAGCCCTCAGTTCACACTGGGAGGTTGGTGCTGGAGCAGCCGCAGCTGATGCCCATGGGCACCGCGTGTACAGGGCCTGGTCTAGCTCTGCAGCCCCGTGGCACAACACACCGCGGATGTCCTGCACAACACGCTGCAGGTGTGTTGATACGTGGTGCCGCAGGGGTGTTGCACAATGTGCCGGGGTTGCACAACAGGCTGTAGGTGCTGCTCCACCTGACACACGAGTGTCACGCAACGCACCACGAGTGGCACCGCACGCCAAGGGTGTTGCACAACATGCTGAGGGTGTTGCACAACGTGCCGAGGGCATTTTGCAGAGCAAGGAGCCCCCCACACCCCCCCCCGCACCCACTCAGCTTGCTGCCCCATGTGCCCCAGGAGCTGCTGCACAGGGGGGTTATCGCTATGTCGGCGCCAGGCTGATCCAGTTCATGATGCGGGTCCCATTGCCCTGTGCATCCCATCCAGATGATGCTCTGGGTCCCATTGCCCTGTGCATCCCGTCTGGATGATGCTCCCATTCCTGCTGCCCTTGTGGCCCTGCATCCCACTGGGATGATGCTCTGGCATTCCCATCTTCACAGCCCTGCATCCCATGGGATGATGCTCTGTCCACGGCACCCTCCCTCCCCCTGCATCCCGCTGGATCCTGGCGCCGCTTCCCATGGTGCCCAAGGAGAAGTGCAGGAAGGCTTTGTCCATCTGGAAGCAGCCATGGGCACCCAGGAAATGCCCGGGCTCCAGCTCTGTGTGGTGCTGGAAGAACTCAGGATCGCACAGCACCCAGCCCAGCACGGGGAAGGTGCTGGTGCCCTGCGGTGGATGGACATACGGATGGACATGTGGATGCATGGATGGACACATGGATGGACACACAGATGCACGGATAGAAGTATGGATGCACAGATTCACGGATGGGTGCACAGATGGACGAGTGGATGGATGCATGGATGGATGCACAGGCGCACAGATGGACAAGTGGACGTGTGCATGGATGGGTGCATGAATGGATGCACAGGTGCACGGGTGGACGAGTGGGTACATGCACGGATGGATGCACGGATAGATGGATGGATGGATGCACATGATGGATGAGTGGACACATGGACAAGTGGATGGATGCGCGGAGGGATGGGCCCCCTTCCTACCTCGAGCAGCACGGAGGGCAGTGTCACGAGTGAGGACGTGGGACCTCCACGGTGCCACCCCCGCTGCCCTTCAATGCCCACGTGGGACCGGCTGCACAGATGCCCATGGGTTTGCACAACGCGCGGGTTTGCTTGCGCGTACTGCGACCCGCAGCTGCTTAAGGTGATTAAATGCACGTGGTCCCCGCGAATGCTGCGACCTCGCAGCAACGAAGCTTTAATGTGGGTGCAGGGGGGATGGGGGGCAGGGGCAGGCCCGAGAGGGGGGGTCTTGCTTGGGGGTCGTGCGATGGGGTTGTGCAGTGGGGTGATGCAGTGGGGTCTTGCAGCGGGGTTGTGCATTGGAGTCATGCAATGAGATCTTGCAGCGGGGTCTTGCAGCGGGGATGTTGCAGGGGTTCGTGCATTGGGGTGGTGCAATGGGATCTTGCAGCGAGGTCTTGCAGCAGGATGTTGCAGGGGTTGTGCATTGGGGTGGTGCAATGGGATCTTGCAGCAGAGTATTGCAGCGCCGGGCGCCGGGCTCAGCGCGGCAGCACGCGCAGCTCGTAGAGTGGTGGCACGGTGCCGAAGCCGCTCTCGCGTGGCGCCGTGTTCAGCTGCGCCGGCGGCACCAGTGGCTGCAGGTGGAAGTGCTGCAGCACCGTGGTGAGGAAGAGGAAGAGCTCCATGCGCGCCAGCGCCTCGCCCAGGCAGATGCGTTTCCCTGCGGGCACAGCAGTGTCAGGACGCGCACAGGCGGAGGGGCGGGCGCCCGCGCCAGCACCTACCTGACGAGAAGGGCACGAAGGCCTCGTTCTTCCGGAAGCTGCCGTCGGCACCCAGGAAGTTGCCGGGGTCGAAGGCGTCCGGGCGCGCGAACATGGTGGGGTCGTGCAGCACCGTGCTGAGCAGCGGGTAGACTTCGGTGCCCTGCACGGCGCAGCACTCAGCGGGCGGGCACGGCGGGCGAGAGGGCAGCGTGCAAGAGCGCGACGTGCAAGGGAGCAGTGTGCAAGGAAGCGGTGTGCAAGAGAACATCGTGCAAGGGGGCGGTGTGCAAGGGAACTGTGTGCAAGAGAGAGACGTGCAAGAGAGCAGCATGCAAGAGCATGATGTGCAAGGGAGTTTCGTGCAAGGGAGCGGCATGCGAGAACATGGTGTGCCAGAGCACAGCATGCAAAGAGAGCTGCGTGCAAGAGCGCAGTGTGCACGAGGGCAGCGTGCAAGGGCACAGCATGCACAAGAGCAAAGTGCATGGGACGAAAGCAATGCAGCACACACGATGGCGGTGTGTACAAGAGCAAGACACGGAAGCAGGGGAAGAGCAAGCAAAGGGTTGCAAAGGGTGGGTGCAGGCCGGCAGTGTGCGGAGGACACAGGGTGAGCTGAGACAATGTTTGCAGGGCAGCGCGCGCAGGGACATGGGACAGCGCTCAAGGACAGGACGCTGTCCTTGGCTGGACCAGGACAGCGTGCACGGGGACAGTGCACATGGGGCCTTTGCTCCTTGCTTTTGCAGGAGCAAAGGGCATGGGGTGAAAGCGGCACAGCGTGCACGGCAATGCAGCATGCGAGGAGCAAGCGTGCGATGAGGTGTGCCAGGAGCTGCAAGGAGCAAGCATGAAAGGAACAAGTGTGCAAGGAGTAGGTGTGCAAGGTGCAAGCAGCAAGGTTGCAAGGAACAAGCGTGCAAGAGACAAGTGTGCAGGGAGCAAGTGTGCAAGGAGCAAGCGTGCAAGGAGTAGGTGTGCAAGGAGCTGCAAGGAGCAAGCGTGCAAGGAACAAGCATGCAAGGAGCAAGTCTGCAAGGAGCAAGCATGCAAGCATGCAAGCGTGCAAGGAGCTGGCACGCAGCGTGTCACCTTGGGCAGCAGGTAGCCCCGGAAGAGCGTGTCACGCGTCACCATGTGGGGCACGTCCATGGGCAGCAGGTCGCTGACGCGCTGCACCTCGTGGATGACGGCATCCGTGTAGGGCATGCGCGCGCGGTCCTCCACGGCGGGCGCCCGCTCGCTGCCAATCACCCTCCCGATCTCCTCCTGCAGCTTCTCTGCAGGCGCAGGGGGGGTGGTTCAGGGCAGACCCCCCCCCTTTTCCAGTACTGCCACCGTGTCCCCTGCGGCGTCGCCCACCTTGCACCTCCGGGTGCTTCATGAGCAGCAGGAAGCCATAGCGCAGCGTGGAGCTCACAGTCTCGGTGCCAGCGAAGAAGAGGTTGAGTGTGGTGAGCTCCAGGTTCTTCTCATTGAACTCCGAGCCCGCCTTGTCCTTCTCCTTGCAAAGACCCCCAAAACAGGAGAAATGGCACCAAAATGTGCCCGGGGGGCAGGGGGGTGGGGAGGGGGAAGGTGCCGCCTCCCACCAACCTTGTCCATCTGGAGCAGGAAGCAGTCGATGAAGTCTCGGGGGGCAGCGGGGTCAAGTGTGGCGCGGTGCTGCTCCACGTGGCGGGCGATGAAGCGCCGCATGCGCCCCAGGAGCCGCTCGATCCGGCGGTGGGGCCCGGGCAGCAGGGCGAAGAGGCCGTCGCTCATGTCGTGGAACTGCGGGGCCGAGGGGAGCGTGCATGTGCATGCTGCGCTGCAGTCACCCGTGCATGGGCATGCAGCGCTGCAGCCACCCATGCACGCACTGTGTGCAGGGACGCGCACAAACTGTGCACCGACGCACCCCTGCTTCAGGGCTATCACACGCCAATGCAGCTGTGCACTAATTCAGCTGTGCTCCAATGCAACCACACATTGATGCAGCCACCTGCATGTTCACCCATGCAGCCATGCTCCAATGCAGCTGCACATTGTGCTCCAATGCAACTGCACACTGACACAGCCGTGCGCTCATGCACCCATGCACCAACGCAGCTGTGTGCAATTGCAGCCGTGCACCAACGCAGCCATGCGCGCACCCACCTGTGCCGAGGTGCTGCTGAGCTCACGGAAACTCTCGTTCATGACCTGCATCATCTCCCGGAACTCGGTGTCCTTGTAGTCGAAGCGGTTGCCGAAGACGATGGAGCAGATGACGTTGGAGACTGCCTGGCTCAGCAGGTACGTGGGGTCGAAGGGCTTCTCTGCGGGGGCAGCGGGACAGGCTCGTGCAGCACTGTGGCGGCGGGGGGGGAACCACGCACCCCGGGGACCCCCTGCGCCCACCTTGCGTGCGCTGCAGCTCCTGCAGCAGGAACTGCGCCTCCTCCTGGATGCGCTCCTCGATGCTGCGCTTGCCCATGCCGAAGTCACGCAGGACGGTGAGCGAGAAGCGCCGCAGCTGCCGCCAGCGCTCGCCATTGGCGAACACCACCCCTGTGGGCACCATGAGCACCACGGGTGCCCATGCCCATGAGCGCCCACAAGTGCCCATGGGTGCCCATGAGCGCCCACAAGCGCCCAAGGGTGCCCATGAGGTCTCACATCCCCCTATGAGCACGGGGGGTGCCCACGGGTGCCCACAAGCACCCATGGGTGCCCACGAGCACCCACATGCCCCTATGAGCACGGTGGGTGCCCGCAGGTGCCCACGAGGTCCCTTGTGCCCCTATGAGCACCACGAGCACCCGCAAGCTCCTGCAACCTCCTGTGAGCACCCGCAAGTCTCTGCAACCACCTGCAAGCCTCCTGCAACCTCCTGCAAGCTCCTGTGAGTGCCTGCAAGCCCGTGCAACCCCCTGCAATGCCCTGCAACCTCCTGCAACCTCAGGCAAGCCCCTGCAAGTGCCCCCAAGCTCCTGCAGGCCCCTGCAAGCAGCACCAGCTCCCGCAATGGGGCTGCCCGCCAGTGCCTGCACCCCACATGCTCCAAGGGCCCCCCGGGGTGCCACTCACCGTGGCTCTCGAAGACGCGGTCCAGGGAGGGCATCTGCCCGCGGCCGCCGAAGGCCTCGGCGTGCTCGACGAGCGCCTCACGCACAACTGCGTGACCGCACAGCACCACGACCGGCTTGCGCCCAAAGTACACGGTGAACACGGGGCCATAGGTGGCGCGGAGCTGCGGGGACACAGGGACGGCGTGGGGACATGCGCGGGGACCGTGGGGTGCAGCGGGAACAGGCTCTGCAGCAGGACCCGCTGGTTGCACGGGGAGCGTCCGGGGAAAGGGCGCGGGAACAGCCTGAGCGGGCGACGGAAAATCCGCATGCGGAGCAGAGAAATAGGGAAGTTGCGCCGGCGGGGAGAGAAGGGTTCTAGGGTGGAAAAGATGGAGTTTTGGGGGGAAAGGGCGTGCTAGCTTGGGTAAAGGGGGTTCTAGCTTGGGAAAAGCTGGAGCTTGGGCAAGAAATGCGGGTTGTAACCTCAGAAAAGCTGGGGGAAAATGGGAGTAGCGGAAAAAGTGAGTCCGGGCATGGGAAGGCCTGGAAGCCATGTGGGAAAACGGAATGCATGTGGGAAAAATGGGTGCTGGCAGGGAAAAATGCTGAATCTTGCAGGAAAAGCGGGTCATAGTGTGGGAAGACCTGGAAGCCATTGGGGAAAAAATGAGTTTCAGCATGCGAAAACCTACAGCCTTGCAGGAAAACATGGAACCTCGCGGGAAAAGCAGGTCATAGCATGGGAAGCCCTGGAACCCCATGGGAAAAAGGAGGATCTAACATAGAAAAATCCACAGTCTTGCAGGACAAGATGCAGTCTTGCAGGAAAAGCCGCAAGCTCCCAGGAAAAGGCATCCGTGACGCGGGCGGCCATGCTCACCTTCTCGAGGGCCTGCAGCGAGCGCATGGGGCAGAGCTGCAGCAGGTTGCCCAGGAAGGGCAGGGGCCGGGGCCCGGGCGGCAGCCGCCCCGAGCCGCCCCGCGGCCGCCCCAGCACCGCCGCCAGCAGCACGGCCGCCAGCAGCAACGCACAGCCGGTACCCAGCTCCATGCTCCCCTCCCTGCACCCCCGCTGGGTGTTGTGGGGTTAAATACCCGCCCGCACCGCCCACTGCTTGCATAACCGCTGGGTAAATAACCGCTGGGTGCAAACTCGACACCCTGGAGCTTTCTGGAGGGGAGAGGCCTGGTCTGGCCCCCCCCGAGCAGCTCTAGGCCCTGGGGCAGCACCAAGGTGTGCTGAGGGCTGCAGTGTGGCGGGTTGCACTGGGGCCTGCTGCATTGCAGCACGTTGCATGGTGGTTGCTGCATTGCATGGTGCTGCTTCGCAGGGCGCTGCGTTGCAGGGTCAGTGCATTGCAGGGCTGGGGCATTGCAAGGCACAGTGGTGCATGACGGGTGTTGCACGGCGCGGTGGTGCATGACAGGTGTTGCACAGTGCGGTGGTGCATGACGGGTGTTGCATGGCGTGGCGGTGCATGGCGGGTGTTGCACAGTGCGGTGGTGCATGAGGGGGTTGCATGGCGTGGCGGTGCATGGCNGTTGCATGGCGTGGCGGTGCATGGCGGGTGTTGCACAGTGCGGTGGTGCATGAGGGGGTTGCATGGCGTGGCGGTGCATGGCGGGTGTTGCACAGTGCGGTGGTGCATGACGGGGGTTGCATGGCGTGGCGGTGCATGGCGGGTGTTGCATGGCACAGCAGTGAGCTGTGGGGTGTTGCCTGGTGTGACGGTGCATTGCAGGGTGTTGCAGCTGTGACAGGGTGTTGTGGGGTGTTGCCGCGGGTGACGGCATGCATTGTAGGGTGCAGCAGAGCCCCCCAGCTCCCCCACGAGGCCCTGGGGCAGCAGTCAGGGTCCCGGCAGCTCCAGAGGTGCCGGTTCTTCCTCCCACCCATCCTCCCTCTCTGCCTCCTTCTCCAGGCAGTTTTTCCAGCGCCGGGAGGAGCCGCATGGAAAGTCGGTATCAGGGAGCGGGAGGAGCCCGGGGGGAGCCCTGGGATGGGGCAGGAAGCCCCAGCACGGGGATATGGGACTAGGATACACGACTGGGATATGGGACTGGGATACAGGATTGGGATATGAGACTGGAATATGAGACTGGGATACAGGGTTAGGATACAGGGCTGGGATATGGGTCAGGGATACAGGGCTGGGATATGGGATCAGGATACAGGGCCAGGATCCGGGCACAGGATCCAGGCTGGGATACGCAGGGGTTAACGGCCCAGCCGGGCGGGATAAGTGGCTGCTCCCGGGATTAGCCCGGGCAGTTGCTCAACCCGCACGGCTGAACTGGGCACCCGGGCAGCCGCGCTCCTGTCCCCACACGTGTCCCCATGCGTGTCCTCGTGCCGTGTGCCCACAGAGGACAGAGGTCCCCACACGTGTCCCAGCGCTACGTCCCTGCTCCGTGTCCCCACGGAGCAGCTGCCCGGACATGCAGCGGTGGCAGCTGCATCGCAGCAAGGGTGCCTTGCTGCAAGGGTGCCTTGCTGCAAGGGTACAGGTGCCAAGAGCGCCACAAGAGCAGGGCTGGGTGCCCCCTGCCACGCTCCACATACGTCAGCGTGTGGCTCTACCGGGACCGTCACCGTCAGCGCCAGGATCACGGCCAGTTCCCGCGCGCTCCCCCAGGATTCGGCTCCAGCGACTCTGGCTGCATCTCTGCCCATCAGGGATCCCATGCTGAACTGGAGCCGGGCGCCTAGCAGCAGGCATGCAAGCGTGTGCAAGCGTGTGCAAGCGTGTGCAAGGGCACAATGCTCCAGAATAGGGTGTTGCCATGCCGGGGCTGCATGTGCAAGCATGCAATGCACCAGAGCATGGTGCTGCCACGCTGGGCATGCATGTGCAAGTGTGTGCAAGTGTGTAATGCACTGAAGTAGGGTGCTGCCATGCAAGGCACACGCCCACAGGCACGTGCCCCATTGCACTGTGCAGAGCCCCCATGCTCTGTCGCACCCCACATCCTGCACAGGGGTTGGGGGGGCGCGCGGGCGGCCACAGGAAATGCCTGGCGGCTCGCGCGGCCCTGCGGCCTCCCAGGAATGCACCGGCGGCTCTGGCTCGGCTTGCGCAAGGCTGCGGCTGCGCCAGCCTCACACCGCGCTCCGCACGAGGCACCTGAGCCTCACACGAGGTGCACAGGCTTTGCACAAGGTGCACGGGCGTCACAGGATGTGCACAGGTTTTGCATGAGGTGCATGGGTGTCACGCGAGGTGCAGGGGCCTTGCATGGTGTGCACAGGCATCGCATGAGGTGCACGGGTGTTGCATGAGGTGCACAGGTGTCACACAGGTGCATGGGTGTTACACAAGGTGCACAGGTACCCTACAGGGTGCATGGGTGTCACACAAGATAGGTGGGTGTCACGCAGGTTGCACGGGTGTCACAGGAGGTGTGGGGGCCTTGTACAGGTGCGCAGATGCTGCACACACGCACAGGGGCTGCCTGGGGCGCACGATGCTGTTGCACAGGAGGGCACTGGGGATGACGGGGCTTCCCCGGGGACATCGGTGTCCCCCGGGGGGGGCTGCGCCCGGGAGCCGCCCCTGCCCGGCTGAGCCCCTGAGTCACCCGAGAAGTCCCCAGGGCCGGGGCCAAGTGAGGCCTGCACGGCCCCGGGGGGGCCCCCCGAGGGCTGGACCCTCCCTGCAGGGATGCCCGGATGCCTCCAGGGATGCCGTCTGGTGAACGGCGGGGGCGCGGGAGGTGGGGGGGACGCCTCCTGGCCGCCGCTTCCCCTTCCCCCTTCCCGTTTCGCTATGAGCCGAGGGCTGCCCGGACGCCTGGGCCCCTTGCCCGGGCCCCCCCCACCCCGCTCCCCGAGCTCGCAGCGTCCCGGGAAACTTGGCCGCTCTCGCGCCGCCCCCGCCCGCTCCTTCCTCCTCCTCCTCCTCCTCGGCCGGCCCCGCTCGCTGCGGCTGCGGCGGCGGCGGCTGCTGCG